CTTGCATTGTTATGGATCTAAAGGTAGCAAAAGCTAACTTTCATAGCACAGCTTTACTTCTCACTTACCACAATAAAGAAACAGACCGTATAGTACAGCACAAACAACACAAATGATCAATACTTACATATATTTTCACTTGTAGTATTATAATAATTGAAATACTGGTTCTTCTGGGGGTGTTCTATCCACGCTCAGGCAGCCACCGCACCGCAGCTGCCTGCACAATCGCTGGAGGACTGTGCTGTCACTCAAAAACTGAGTAGCCAATGGGGACGCACCCCTGAAAGTCCCGCCCACCTGGGAGGTTTGCGTCAGAATCTCAAACAAAAAATGAGGGAGCGCAAAAGAGAAAGCTGAAGCGAGAGCAAAAGTCTGATCATTGAGAAAGAAGAAACAAGAACTGCAAAGAAAAACCTATGTTAAAACAAAGAAAAAGTACTTATAGTTTACATGATTACACAAATGATTTGTTTGCAACCCTACGGGCAGATCATGCAGACTGTGTGGGGCCTCGCCTTGTGGAGGGGACTACACCTTGCGGAGTGGGGCCTCATCTGAGGCGCACCTATGCGCTTATGTGGCGCAATTAGGGTGGCGCGGCACGGTTTCGCAGCTGCGAGGCTCCACTAGCACTCATCAAATAACTGTGCGTGGGGCCTCAAATTGGCCCCTGGCCCTGGTTATTCTTGAAAATACTTCATCTGCAATATCTTTTTGGGCCGTAAATCAATATACTTATGTTATTATAATGTAATTTTAAGTTTGCACATCTTTATTTATAATTTTTTCAAAATGTACATCTCTTCAGTTCAAACCCTGAACGCATACTGTCCACCTGAGTGGACATATACAAATATCTTTGAAAAAACTAGATTAAAAAAAAAATAAGTTCAAATTTTGTTTTTCATGCCCCAAGAGCAATAATAACACTTGGTAAAAAAATCCTGACTGAGGCTTTCATAATTCATGCATGAAAGGGTTTAAAGTAAGCAAAATAAAGTCCGCCAACTCGCGCCGAGAATTGCTCGGACAGCAGTTAGTAAGATTGATTTCAGTAGCCACTTGTCTGGAAATACCGAAGACCAGAAACGGTTTTGAAAACTTTTGTCACGTAGTGATCGTCTTCTCAATAGAACATCTTTGATAATGTCTTCTGGCCAATCAGAATCAAGATAACGGCGTGGTGTTGTTGCAGGAAATCCCGACGGAGAATACTTTTGCTGTAGTACATTCTATATACATCGATACAACATGTTGATAGAAATCAATAACTGGTACGCAGGTTATGTGCGTAATCTGAAATGCGTACCGTCACTTGTGTCACAAAGCGCATTTGCGTACCGACGTACTTGTGAAGCTTTTTCAGAAGGCGGTTAGATCACCGGACGACAGAGTCGGTCTCCGTGTGCACAGACAGGGCTGCTGTTAACGTCGGTCTGTACAACGGAATTGTGCCAAAACTACGCCAACCCGCTGCTGAGGGAGACTCAGAGGAATTTACCAATTAATTCATTAAAAATCCTACAATGTGATTTCCTGGATTATTTCCCCCCATTTTGTCTCTCATAGTTGAGATATACCTAGGATGAAAATTACAGGCCTCTCATCTTTTTAAGTGGGAGAACTTGCACAATTGGTGGCTGACTAAATACTTTTTGCCCCACTGTACATAAAGAAATGGCATATTTTGGACATAGTTCGAATGGTGATTAATCATGATTAATTAATTTTTAAGCTGTGATTAATCTGATTAAAATTGTTAATCGTTTGACAGCCCTACTATTTTATCATTACGCTTTACTGTAGCATTTAACAGTCTGAGTGCTTGAATTCAAGTGCTGCACAAAAAAGACAAAGCCTTAACAGTTTGTTTTTCTTAAGAAAAGAAGCAGACAGAAATAATGTCTATATTTAGCTACTAAGACTCTTTACAGATCACATTTTTATTCAAAACGCTCCAATATATTCAGTCCTGCTCATCTCTTTGCAGCGTTGCCCTGAGGACCCATTCGAAGGAAGTGACAGCTACCACAGTGTTAACAGGACATCTCTTTATATCTATGGTGCATTTCTTCCACCAACTGTTGCAGCTGCACATCACATTGCCCTCATGCTTGTGGCGTTTGTATGTGTATACAGAGGATTTAAAAAGTCCTGATCAGACCCGGCAGCAGGACTTAATCCATGTGGAGGCATTTGATTTGTTAGGGCGTGCCCAAGGTCAAAATAATAGGTTGCGCTGGCCCATCACTGAATTGCTCTTGCTGATTAATTAGAATCAATCTCCTATCTTTATGTAGCATCTAGAATCTCACTTACCTGAAACCAACCACGCACTTTTCCGGGACATTACTGATATGTGGACTTGGTTTCGGCCCAGCAGAGCAATATAGAAGCAACAACTCAAACATTCTGGATACATTTCTTTGCAAACAAGCTCAATTTTGATGAGTTCTGGCTACTCATTTTCATGCATAGAACTTGTCTCAAGCATTAAAAATGTAAATGTGTAACATTACCGCAAACATGCATGTTTATTTTAAAGGTGAAATATGAGTTGTGATGTAAAAATATTAAATCTCTGCCAAATCTTCTCTTCTGCCTGTGTGTCACTCAGGTCTGACCAACACACACACACACACACACACACACACACACACACACACACACACACACACACACACACACACACACACACACACACACACACAGTTAATTTAAAGACCTGCGCTTTGTCTGGCAGGCTGTTATGTGACGACGATTTTTTTTCACTTGATTGCTTGGATGTATTAATGAAAAGAAAATAACAATAATGATCATTTTTCTTCCACTTTAGGAAAATCCCACCTGGCCATCGTCCAGAAGGTGAACAACGAGGGGGAGGGAGATCCCTTCTACGAGGTGTTGGGGCTGGTCACCCTCGAAGACGTCATCGAAGAGATTATCAAATCAGAGATTCTGGATGAATCGGATCTTTACAGTGAGTTTGGTATTTTTTTCTAAATGGTGTCTTTAATGTCTTTACAGATCATTTTCATCTTCATCTTTGTTATACTTCGGTTCAAAAGTTTAGTTTCTGCTGTTATCTTGAGAGGTTTTGTTCATACGTACAAACAGTCAAATTCAGATGCTGAATGTCATTATAATAAGATTTAAAGCCTCTGTTTAGTCCATTTCCCCCCAGTGTTGCTACAGAGGAGCATACTGTGGGAACTTTATTATTGAATTAGTTTTCCAGTCCAGAAAAGACTAAGAGACCCCCAGTCAATGCTGATTGTTTTGCACTTTCGTCGATCTCTTGGAACCATTGTTCAGCATTTTATCTTGTTTCCATGTACAAATATTTCATACAAACTAATAAGTACTAAATAATACTAAAAAATGTATGAATATATTACTATATAATATGCTTTTGTTGCAGAGATTCCAATTGTAAGTTTTCACCGTTTTTTATCAGTGAATTTAATTATTTAAATTACTTTGTTCAATTCCCAAGATATCAAAACAGATTATTTTCTATCACAGGATCAAGCAATAAGCGGCTCCTGTTGTTGCTTCACAGAACAGCTGATATGATTTTTACAATGCTGTTTAGCTGCTGTAAAACATCTGTACAGCATGGCCTCGCTTTGCTGATTGCTAAACAGTTTTGAACTTTCAACTGAACATTGACTTAATGAACGCGTTTGTCTGTTACTTCTCAGCTGATAACCGCAACAGGAAAAAAGTGGCGCCCAATAAAAACAAGATAGACTTCTCCGCCTTCAAGAACGAGAGTGAATCAAAAGTGAAGTGCTCTCCTCAGCTGCTGCTGGCCGCACATCGCTTCCTGGCTACAGGTGAGGAACGGATTTATACAAGCATGAGCATACACAATCATCACAGTGACAAACACACAACCACAATATCTTTTATAACATTTAACAGTTGAAATATGCACTTCATATAGGAACTTTTATTGAATTGATTTCCTATTATTCAGCTTGATAACTCTATTTCACATATTCTTCTTGTCTAACAGCTTCAGTTACTTTTCAGATTAAGTTTTCCCCCGCACCCCTCTAGTGATAAACATGTATATCAAAATGTATTCATTTTTAATGTTTATGATGAACTCAGGAATTCTTCATCGAGATCATTCTTATCTAGCAAATAATCCTCTTTAAGCCTCTTGAAGCCTCTTGGTTCAGTTGAAGTGCATCGTCACAAAGATGAAAACAAGACTTTTTCTCTGAGAAATTCATCAAAGTTGGCTTTTTAGAGATCTGTAGTTCTCACAGGATTGGACACATCTACAAACAAATGATGAATTTATAGAATATGATGCATTGCTGTAGATTACATCACCACAATAGGTAAAACATTTGTTAAAATTAGCATCAATTTAAAGGTGGGGTAGGTAATTTTGGAGAAACCAGCTCGAGTGCGCTATAATTTGAAAATACACAACCGGAAAAAATCTGCCACTTCCTTACAGAGCCCCTCCTCCAACACACACGAACGCGCACATGACCAATGAGGGCACGAGATAAGTTTGTGCACAGATGGAAGGCTGACAGGCAGGTAGGCCATCCAGTTATTTTAGCCGGGCCGGCTCAAATGATTGTTCGTGCTTTTTACAGTACCACGGCTTCCACAGATGACATTCTTTTATGGATTTGTTGTCAAAGCACTTAAGATATTCATTGCTATCGGGATGTTAAGAGAATTCCATGGAATATAACAAAAAGTGTATCTCGAGCCGGTTTCTCAAACTTACCTACCCCACCTTTAAACATCTACAACAATAATATATAAGTACAAATTAATGCAGCAGTAATGTTAATCCATAAAACATCATATATTACAAACCAAACTTTTACTGCCCAATGACTCCTTTTACCTTTGATACGTTCACCTACTGATACAAACCATTTACTTCAGTTAAAGATGAGATTACTTCTTTCAACACTTAAAATATTGAAAGGATATTTAGCCATTGTATAAATATCCTCAGGATGTCAGGATGAATTCTGCCCTCCTGCCATCTGAGGTCTTCACATGCAGGGAGGAGTTTGACATTTGTTTGTCTACTCTGAAAGTATTTTTAAGATCCCTGCAGTGTCCCTGTCTGTGCTTACCGCTACAAGAACACTCAGGACTAATGCCAGCTGGATGTGGTGCATCGCCACTTCTTCAAATAATTTGAGAATGTGTTGCAATCCATCTGGTTAGCAAGCGTTCGCGGACGTGATGTGCCAGGAGCAGTTAGCACTAGCTCTGCGGCTAGCATGACGTAGCACTTCCTTGTTTCACAGACACTGTGGTGGGGAAGTCTATTACCTCTGCAGGGATAACACCGCTGTCTGCTGACACGTTGCTGTTTCTTTGTCAGGAGGATGGGTTTCAGTTTTCTTTCTTGATTCAATACACAGGAATGGGATTCCCCCCTTTTTTATTTTGGTCCACGAAATTACTGTTTACCGGTTTCTTTACCTGTTTTTGTTCACATCAGTGATCATTACCCAGCTCTTATTTCACATTATGTCAAATTTCTGTTGCCTTTGATACCTGATACGGATATTCAGACTATCACCAATCTTTAAGAAATGTATTCCAGTCAGGGAATTTAATATGCATAATGCCACCATTATGCTTCAATAACAGCAAGCCTCCTTCAGTCTGTGTTGCATGTTATGAGCTGATTGATTGAAGATGTACTTGTTGACTTAATATTTAAATCATAATGGAAGGAGTTTGTTTGCGTTTTTAGATGATGAATTACCACATGGGTTGTATATGCCTCACCTCTCACTGTGTGTCGCAGGGGGTTTTGTTTGCATGGCGGACTGCTTCATTGTTCTCAGTGTGGGTTGGGTTGAGGGCACTTAGGTTTGAGCTCTGATTGCAACAGCCTGGCCTGCGACAGTTTGGAATTGCATGTAAACCAAATACATTTCACAACCTGAGACTATGCACCATCATTAACATTTATGTAAATGTCTTAGTGTTAGCCAAAAGGCTAAAATCCCCATGTTCCCTCCAGAGGGAGTTTCTCTTTTTTGCTCATTTCAATTTCTCAGAGGCCAGTGTGTCATCTTTAATTATATATTTATGTCTAACAATGTAAAACAAAACGTAAGTCAAGCATTTCAAAATTCTTCTCTCACACTTGAGCAAGCCATACCTATTAGGATTCAATGTTGCAGTACTTATTTGTTATTTCTTTATAAGCCTAACATTGAGCTGATTTTCATTTGAATACATTTGATATTATTCTATGTAATGTAATGTCCATTTATGTCACAACAATAGATTCCTTGCAATACTAAATTCATTCAGTTTGTCAAGGCTAAATGTATAGCTTGAAATATGTAACCCTCTTCTGTTGAACCAACATAACGTACATTTTGGTATTATTATTTAGCATTGTAGAGGGCAATAAACTCAGACATGCATTTGTTATAATGAATTACTTATGATCAATAACTAGCCAGACGAGAACTTGGCTGATACTGCCAATGAATAAGCAAGTGCAGGAACATAAGATATTGTCCCGACAGCAAGGCTAACTGAGCTAACGGCTAACTAGAGAACAGCAGCTAATGTCAGCAGATCTTAGTAGGGGTAGGCGTTACGCTACTTTGTCGACACGTTTTTTTTGTATTTATATATATCAGAAAACTATGTAAATCACAGAGATCGAAAGGCAGCCAAAGGAGATGTTTCACAAAAACATTGAACGTATCATTTAATATGCACATTGATCCATGATGTGTTTGTTGGAAGTAAGAAGGTAATTGGATCTCAAGTCAGTTTGGAAAAAAACATATTTTCTTTGTGTAATGAAGTATATAAACCTCCCAAAAATGTATTTATGATCCTTTTTGGTTGTTTAGGACAGTAAAATAAGTGTACATTAATTCCCCTTTCACCTCAAAGAACATTTTCTTCTTGTCTTCCTACAGAGGTGAGCTTGTTCAGCCCATCTCAGATCTCAGACAAGGTGCTGCTGCGGATCCTGCGCCACCCCGATGTGATCCAGGAGATCAAGTTCAGTGACAGTGACAAGCGTTCGCTCCATCACTACGTCTACCAGAGGAGCAAGCCCGTCGACTACTTTGTTCTCATCCTGCAGGTACGTGAAGACCGAGGGAAGAGGAGGGTGAAGCACGAGCTGGCTCTGTGACCGCTTGATGCTTCAGTGTGGGTGAAATATCAGCACACTGTTGTCTGATCTTCCAAAAGCCCTCAGAAAGGAGAGCAGGAACACTGGTAGATTATAACTCCCTCCCACACACTCACGTATACTCCAACACAAAGTAGGATAATATCTATTTTTCTTTCAGCTCTGACAATATACTGTTCTCAAGTTCTCAAAAGTGAGTCAACTACAGAAAACATTTTTTTGCATTCTTGTTTGTTTTGTTGATTTGTCTTCTGTGTGCAAATAGGCTCCTTCTTGTATGTTTTAAATTACACTGTTTTAGCAAAGTTCATACTACACTTTAAGAATTAGCAGCAAAATAACCTTAACACATGGTGCATTAGTAACTTTTCAGGAGCTCTTACATTTTTGTTGCTGGTTGCAACATCAGTTGTGCTTGACATAGTTTTGGGTAAATAAGAGGACAGAGTAATGGCTGGCACATCATTTAAAACATACAGGAAAAACCAACAGGACTTGATGTGGTCGTGCTGTCATGTAATCTGGCAGAACTCAATCTAGAAAATGCAGTTTGAGTAAAGCCTACTGATATTCTTTTCCCTCACCGTGCTGAACACATTGCGCCATATTAATGTCATATTCCCGTTGCTTCAGCCTGGAAACGAAGCTGTGAAGCTTAAATCTATGGGACTGACTCTTCCTCTTTCTTTCTTTGACAATTATCTCAAACTCTTCCCTTCTTCACCTGCCATCCCATCCCCTCACAAAGTGCATCTTGAGCTTAGCAGTATTGATCGGCCTGCCTTCTAGTTAAACGCTGAGCTACAGCTTGTGACAGATGGCAGTAGGCGATAATAATTATCTTAAAGTTTGTTCTTGAAATATATGTTAAGTCACTTTTGATTCCCGAATGAAGACACAAAGGTGATTGTGCTCACTGGAGGGAAGCTCTCAAGGATTACTACCTTACGCTTCTAAATGTAGTGTTACAATAGGATATGATGAAGGCCTGAAAAGGACATATTTAAAGCTGTCCATTCACAGGCACAATGCTTCGTTTTTTTAAGTTATCCTCATTTTTGACGGAAGTTTGGGTTGACAAATGTTTTTTGAGAAAGGCCTAGGTTCAAAGTTTGGGCACTGTAATATAATTCCTCTAATAGGCAAGGGAGTTTCCCTAAAAAACACCCGGAAACATAATCATCAAAACTATTCACCTTTGTGGCTTTGAACATATGTCAGTAAAGAAAACAATTAACATGATTGGTCTTTTAATTAGATTTGCTGCTTTGGTGTGGTCTTTTAATTAGATTTGCTGCTTTGGTGTGGTATTTTCTATGTGTAAATGATGAATTTGGTTTGCTGCATGGTCCACAAAGAATGATAAGAAGAGACTCCCTTCCAATCTCTCATGAGACACTCCTCTTCTCCCTCAATAAATCCTTCCTTGAAATGTTTCAGAAGATAGACAAAGGCCTGCTGTTACAGAAATCACTGTTAAACAAAATAATACATTTCATGTATGGCAAAAGCAATCGGATGGAGAACAAAAGATTGGACTGTCTGGAAACAGATGTATTCTATATCTATGCAAAAGAAAGCACAGTGCAGGAATACATTGCATCCTATGTTTACAGCATGTTTAAATACATCTGTGTGTTGATATATAAACAACTGTTTAGAAGTCACAACTAATCCAAAGTCCATCAACTCCATAAGGAGATTAGCCGGCTACTTTAAGAGCTTTAGCAACCAGGTTTGGTGGAGTGCCAGGCTGGAGTGATTAAGCATGAAGGCATCCAAAAAAGGAAAAATCTGTTTGTAGAATTTGTACTCACCTGAAAAAACCAAATGGCTGCTGTTGTTTTGAGTTTATTTGTGCTCTTTTACCAAACACTCACCCCATCATTTAAGAAAAACTGACCGACAAGTGTATTAAATATAGGAATAAAACTCCTAACTTAAGGTTAATGTTTATGCTTTTGATATTATAATACCAAACTTGAAAACAAATTTGATAAAAAGTATGCCCGTTTATTTGAATTGTAACCATGCAATACACTGTTACATTACATGTACCGTTTGAATCGTCCTTTTCCATTCATTCTTTGCTGTAAAACACTTATTGTATAAACAAGTATGTTTTCTAAGGATCTTTTCCCATTAGTTAATTTGTTAGCTAGCTAATTTAACACATTTCCCATTGTAGGTTTTTGAAAGTAATGGATTTATTTGGCACATTAATGGATTATGTGTATATTTCTATCTGCATATGACATTGTGGTTAATAGAGCCTGAGTGGATACCAGAATGCTCCTCTGCTAGGTGTACATGCTTAGCAGTAGCTCAGTCTGTAGGAAATAGCTTGGGGACCAAAAATAAGGGGTGAGAACTGGTAGCTGTAGAGGTGCCAGTTGCCGAGGTGTCTGTGAGCAAGGCATCGAACACCCAACTGTTTCCTGACCACTGGCAGCCCCTTTGCTCTGCCACCTCTCCTTAGTGCATGTCTGTCCTGAATATTAATAACTCCTCTATTTTCATGTTATTCCTTTGTCATACATTCCTATAGATGTTCTCTTAATTCCCACCTTGAATATTCCCAAACGTTTGCAGGCCTAGGTAGGAGCAAACACCCTTCCATTTAAACACTTGTCAAATCTGTCAGCGATGCAGCATGAGGGCACAACACACTTTTCTTTCTCGCTTTTACAACATTTTCGAGTCAATGCTGCCGCTACAGCGCCGCCTGTTAAAAGGCTTTCATGTGTGATTATAACTGCCGGCAACATTTAACGTTCAAATGTCACTTTCATTTAGACATAAATGGCATCATTGGAACAGATAGAAGCAGCCAGCAATTACATTTTTGCTCTTCACTAAATGATCCCTGTTATACAGTATAAGATGGTAGTGGAGGGAGGAAGGATACCGTACTCACACACTTATCATTGTACCTCCTTCTGCATGCTTACACACCCTCCAAACACACCAAACTCCCAGAGCACGCCTCCTGTCTCCTCTCTGTGTACATGTACACGTGCGCTCAAATCCCACAGGATGGGAAAATGACGATTAATTGTCTTAATCTCCGCTCTTTCACACACACTTATATCCCACACATCCTTTATGTCAATGTCACCAAACAGTCATTAGCCAGGTTCAGTAATCCAGGGGGATCATTTCCACTTTCTCCTCACGGTGAGATTTTCACAGTGGGGGGCCGGATATTTGTGAGGAGGTTGTGGAGACCCCACATGTGGAATAATCCGCTGAGACCTTTTTGGAAAGGGAGGCATTTAGTGTCAGCATGCCAGGGAGGGAATGTTCCACCGGAGGGAAAGATACTGTCAGAGCCAGTCATTGTGAAATGTTCTGCATGGTGAGTGCAGAAAAGCCTCTGGGTTTAAGTTGGATTTTAGGAGAAGTACATGTACTGATACCCTGCTTTTACTCAGGATGCTTTGCTTTCTGTCAAATGTTAAGATTGCTTACACAAAACAAGGTTTAGTTGAAGACAGCTATTTAAAGACAAGATCCAGGAGCTTCCAGGTATAACCATTTTCATTTCAAGTACCTAACCTAGATTTCTGTATAAATACGAATTTAGAAAAGATGGACTATTTTCATCAGATCCTGTCTTGAGCTGATGAATATTTTATTTTGGTTATTTCAGATACACTGCAGACTCGTTGAATTATAGATTTATAATTTCTCTGAAGAGTCACTGACAAGCCTGTGTATAGAGAACTTAGCGAAATGTGGACGTCAACATGGAGTTTGTGTGCTGCTCATTTTTGGCCTGTAAACAAAGTGATCCCCTCACATTCCAGCGGTGCTTGTTTGGAAACAGGAAGGTGAGAAACAGACAGAAAATAGTTAGTGGAAAATGTGAGAAAAAGGAAATTTTTTAGATGGGGGTTTACTAGAGATTATTGGTTAAAAAAAGTATATTACACAGTGTGGTGTTGGTGATGTGCGGAGCAACCTTTTGGCGTGTTCAGAACTAAAACAAGAAGGACTTGTTGCAAATAAACAAGCCTCATACAGGCATTGTATGTGGTACGTGCACATTTAATGCAGGTTCCTTAAAGTGGACATATCATGCTATATTTGAAACATATATTGTAGGGCCATACCTATATAAAACATGTCTGTGAAGTTTTTTATTCAAAATACCAAACAGATCATGCATTTTAGCCATGCCTCATTTCGCTCTATTTGCTCTTTTCCAGCCCTGTTTTTGCAAGTGCTGATTCTGCCTATGTGGCAGACTACAGCACCACTTACAGGCCTGGCATATGTACTACAGCGTCTCCAGCGCTTTCGAGCGGCAATGGCCGTGGCCCAACCCCCCATTCCCCTGATAGGTGGAGAGTTGCCCATATAGGCGGAGCACCCCTTTTCTGACGTCAGAAAAATTAACGTCTGTATCAGCTCAGTTGCAGTCCCGTTTTTAGAGATTTTGAGTATGGAGGAAAAGAGAGAGGGTTGTGTTTTCTGACACTTGGTGAGTTCCCTGACACACCGGGGACACATATTCATGTATAAAAGACGTACAAAAGTGCATTTTGCATGACAGGTCCCCTTTAAGTAGGATTATTATAAATGTCTACAGATTAAGAGTGTTTTGATGGGTACAGTAAAAAAAAAAGGCTTAATTTTCAATGACAAGCTGAACATTTAATGTTTGCTCCATTATTTTCTTTCTTTTAGTCCCGCTGACCATGAAAAGATAAACATGTGTATGACAGTGCTAAGGTGCAAGAAGGGTAAAAGCCAGTTGTACTCATGTTGTGTTAAAATAAGGTAAATAGCTAATAGTGTAATGTTGGTACTTTTTTTATCACATTTTTGTGAATAAAAACTCTTCCGAATGTTCTAAATTGACTTTCCAACCAAAAGTTTCCCAAGGAGTGTGTGAATCTTATTTGATAAACTATACATATGAAACTTTTGATTGTTCTCGCTAA